TTTTTTTTTTGCGGTACGCGGGCCTCTCCCAGTTGTGGCCTCTCCCGTTGCGGAGCACAGGCTCCGGACGCGCAGGCTCAGCGGCCATGGCTCACGGGCCCAGCTGCTCCGCGGCACGTGGGATCTTCCCGGACCGGGGCACGAACCCGTGTCCCCTGCATCGGCAGGCGGACCCTCAACCACTGCGCCAACAGGGAAGCCCGGGAGACATTTTTGACAAAATCAAAGCAATGGATTCTGAGGCACAAAACAACACTCTGAGGCACAAAGGAAATCCCAGAGGTGCAGCCAGCTCAGAATCAAATACAAAGGTCAGGAAAGGGCCAGGTGACCGTTATTAGTGTACTTCCTTCCAGGTCTGCTAAGGCAGTTGTGTGTATGTGCGTGTGTGAGGGACAGAACAACAATCCAGAAGCTGGAAAAGGTATTAGGGGCTGAATTGTGTTCCCCACTTCCCAATTCATATGCGCAAGTCCTAACCCCCCAATATCTTGGAATGGGACTGTATTTGGAGACAAGGTCTTTAAAGAGGTAAAATGAAGTCATTAGGGTGGGCCTTAATCCAAGATGACTGGTGTCCTTATAAGAAGAGGAGATTAAGACACAAGCACACACAGAGGGATGACCATGTGAAGACAGAGGGAGAAGACCGGCATCTACAAGCCAAGGAGAGAGACCTCAGAGGAAACCAGCCCTGCCGACACCTTGACCTCAGACGTCCAGCCTCCAGAACGGTGAGGAAGTCATTTTCTTTTTGTTTAAGCCTCCCAGTCTGTGGCACTTTGTTATGGCAGCCCTAGCAAACGAATACAGAAGGGAACAAAGAAAACGAGGGAAGGAACCAAACATTCAAAGGGCCTAGTGCAGGCAAGATGAATAAAATCACATCTAGACTTACTTTCACTGCAGAGAACTGTGAGAACACCAAGGAGAAAGGAGATAACAAAAGCGTGGGGAGAAGAAAATGAAATCGACTACAAAGACTGGCAGACGCTTTTTGTTGGGTTTTTTTTTTGTCTGCACAACTAGGTACTAGATGCCAGTAGAAAAAAACCCTCCAAGGTTCTGGGAGAAAATAGCATCCAAGCTTATGATGAAGTGTACGAATAGAAAAAGGCATTTTCAGGCACGCAAGGGCTTGCAATTTACCTCACAGCTTCTCTTGACAAGATAACTGAGCATATCCCACAGCAAAACAAGAAAGGTGTCCCAGAAAGATGACACGAGATCCAAGAAAGAAAGGCAGAAACCTGGGCATACGATGAAAATTCTATGAGGATAGTGGCATCACAAGGTTACAGAGCAAAGGTTCCAGTGAGATCAAAGAGCATGCTGAAGGTTTCCAGAGACATGGAGCCCTGGATCCGCTCACCTTGGGGATAAAGACTTATGCTTTTGTCAATGAGAGGTCAAGTAAGTTACAGGAAAAAACAAAAGCTAGGCGAGAAAGCCTTGGTTAAATTAAGGCAATCAAGATGCAGTACCACCGAACAATTCATGGAATGTCAATGAATCTTGACATTCAGAACATTTCCCTTTGAGGATACATTTTCAAGTTTATAAAGTTACATTCTCTTCTCTTTCAGACTGATCGCTCTTATTACACTACAACTAATATTTATACAGTCAAATTGTAAATCCTGTGTATTGATCTATTTTTTAGACTCCACCTAGCACATGAAATACATGGAAAAATAAATGTTAAGTATTAACAATGTGAAACATGGGCAGTAAAGAGAGATGAAGAGTACATTAATTTCTTTATATCATTAAATTAGTAGATACACCGTAATAATATACTTATTTCTCTATTAATGTGTTCTAGTGGTAGCTAGTAAAAGCTAAAATCAGAAATTCGGTTGTAGCCACAAAGAAATGGGAATTGCAGTAAGGGTTAAGGCAAATAGGAGACCTACTCTCATTTTCCCCCAATTTATTCTTATTAAAAAAGGGTATTTATAGTAAACTGGCTTTTTTGCTATATAGTTCTATGAGTTTTAACACATGTCTAGATTTATATAAACATCATCACAATCAGGATACAGACCAGTTCCATTGCCCCCAAATCTCCCTCATGCTACCACGTAGTTAAACCTTTCCTCCACTCCTACCCATGTCAACCACTAATCTGTTCTTCATTTTTAGGGGTTTTTTTGCCACTTCCAGAATGTCATATAAATGGAATTATATAGTATGTATAACTTTTTGAGATTGGTTTCTTTGATGGCATAATGCACTTGAATTTCTTTTATATTGTTGCATGAATCAGTAGTTCGTTCCTTTTTTTTTGAGTAATATTCCATTGTATGGATGCAATAAAATCTGATGTCTGTTTATCCATCACCCACTGAAGGATATTTGGGTGACTTCCAATCTTTGGTGATTATAAACAGAGCTTCTATAAACATTTGAGTATAGGTTTTATGTGAGCATAAACTTGCATTTCTCTAGGATAAATATCTAAGAGTGAGATGGCTGGCTCACATGGTAAGTATCTATTTAATTTGACAAGAAATTGCCAAACCGTTTTTCAGAATGGCTGTACCACTTTGCACTTCCATTATCAATGCATTGGGAGGTCTAGTTGCTCTGTATCCTCATCAGCACTTGATATTGTCAGTTTAAAAAATTATAGCCAGCCAATAGGTGCATCATGAAAACTCACTGTGCTTTTAATTTATATTTCCTCAATAACCAATGATGTTGAACATTTTTTCATGTGCTTACTTGTGTATCTTCTTTGGTGAAATGTCTGTTAAAATCTTCTGCTCTATTTTTTAACTGGATTATTTTATTATTGAGTTTTGAGAGTACTTTATATATTCTGGGTACAAATTCTTTGTCAGATATGTATGTGATTTGTAAATATTTTCTCCCTGCTTGTAGCTTACCTTTTCATTCTCTTAACAGTGAAATTTATAGAACAGATGTTTTTAGTTTTGAGAAAATTTATTTTTTTTCTTTTATGGATTATGCTTTTGGTGTCATATCTAAGAACTCAAGTCACAAAGATTTTGTTTCCCTATAAAAATTTAATAGTACATTTTACATGTAGGTCTGTAATCAATTTTGAGTTAATTTTCCTACATGATATATAAGATTTGTTATATAATTTTGTATAAAATGTGAAGTTTAGGACAAATTCACTTTTTACATATGAGTGTCCAAATGTTTCAACACCATTTTTTTAAAAGACTAAACTTATTAGCCCATTGAATTGTCTTTGTACTTTTGTCAAAAGTCAGTTGACTGTACTTGGGTGGGTCTATTTCTGGATCATTACACTGACCAATTATGCTAAGTGAAATCTGCTAGATAGAGAAAGACAAATACTGTATGGTGTCACTTATATGGGGAACCGAAAAAGAAAAAGTTGAATCCATAGAAACAGAGAATAGAGTGGTAGTTGCCAAGGAAGGAGGGAATGGTGAGGGGAGACTTTCAGTTTTAAGATGAATAAGTTCTAAGGATCTAAATAAAGTACAGCATGGTGACTAATTAATACTATATTGTATACTTGAAATTTGCTAAGAGATTGGATCTTAAAATTCTCATAATATAAAAAGGGTAACTTTGAGGTGATGAATATGTTAATTAACTTGATTGTGGTAAATATTTTACAGTGTATACATGTATCAAATCATCACGTTGTATACTTTAAATATATATGATTTTGTCAATTATACCTCAATAAAACTGGAAAAATCATAAACCAAAAAACCAATGCTACGATTTAGATAGGAAATGCACTAAACCTATAGATCAATTTGGGGAGGATTGACATCTTTTCTATATTAAGTTTTCTAATCAATGAAACCAACATATCTCTCCATTTATTTAGGTCTTCATTGATTTCTCATCAGCCTTTTGTAGTTTCAGCTCTCAAATCCTGTATATGTCTTATAAGATTTATAATTAGTATTTCATCACTTTTTTTTGAGCTATGGTAAAAGGTATAGTTTAAAAATTTCAGTTTCCAATCATTTATTGCTAGTATATAGAAATATGTTCGTTTTGTTGTTGGCCTTGTATCCTGTAACCTTTCTAGACTCACTTACTGATTCTATGGGCTTTTTCTGTAGTCCTTGGGACTTGTTGATGCAATCCTGTCTTCTGTGAGTTGGGATAGTTTTATTTCTTCCTTTCCAATCTAGATGCTTTTACTTATTTTTCTTGCCTCATGGCACTAGCATCCAGAAGGATTGTGAATAGGAGTGGAGTGGACAATCTAACCTGGTTCCTGATCTTAGGGGGAGAGCATTTAGACTTTTGCCTTTAAGTACAATGTTAGCTTGGATTTTTTTAGATGTACATTTTCAGAGTAAGGAAGTTCCCTTCAGTTCCTAGTTTGCTGAGAGTTGTTAAATGAATGGATGCTGAATTTCATCAAATGCTTTTTCTGCATCAATTGATATGATGATGTGGCTTTTCCTCTTTAGTTTATTAAGATGATGGATTTTATTTATGATTTAAAAAACATTGAACCAGGGCTTCCTTGGTGGCGCAATGGTTAAGAATCCGCCTGCCAATGCAGGGGACACGGGTTTGAGCCCTGGTCCGGGAAGATCGCACGTGCCGCGGAGCAACTAAGCCCGTAAGCCACAACTACTGAGCCTGCGCTCTAGAGCCCGTGAGCCACAACTACTGAGCCCACGTGCCACAACTACTGAAGCCCGCGTGCCTAGAGCTGGTGCTCCGCAACAAGAGAAGCCACCGCAATGAGAAGCCCGCGCACCGCAACGAAGAGTAGCCCCCGCTCGCCGCAACTAGAGAAAGCCCACGCGCAGCAACGAAGACCCAGTGCAGCCAAAAATAAATAAATTTAATAAATTTAATAAATAAATTAATTAATTTTTTAAAAAAACATTGAACCAGCCTGACATTCTTGGGGTAAACCACATACTCTCATTTTATATCCTTGTTATAGTTGAATTTTACTGTGGGTATACATTAGTTATGTAAGAAGCTGATATAACTTAAGTTTTAAAAAATACACATACCTGATTCCATTTTTTCCATTTTCTGGCTTCTGGTTAAGGCCATCCTTTACCTGAGAAAGAAAACATTTTCAAATCTAACTCATCAGAATAAGTTCAGAAGGAGAGTGATATTGGCATTTATCTTAGGAGATAAGGGCACCATGACTACATTTGCTGGGCTCCATTCTTCAGCCCTGGTTCACCTGAAGTTAAGATGAGCCTCTACAACTTTTCATGCTTGCTTTCTAGTGGTTCCACAGAACACTGCTCTCCAAGAATTTAGGGCAAGCCACTCAACAGTTCCCTAATTAAACACATTACCAAGAAGTCTTAACTCCATATCGCAGTTCTGTACAAGCTCACTTAAATTCACCTTACAGAATACGCACAACTCCTTCATTAGGTCAACTACACCTTCATAGCTTCTTTATATGCTGAATGGAATATCCAGATGCCTATATTTTGTTATGAAATCATTTTTATGCATTTCTATTGCTTTTACCTGATGTATTCACTCTCTTTTTTTAGAGACAGCTCTAATTTCCCAATTACTCAGTGCAAATTTTTTAAATGAATGCCATTAAAGATATCTTTGAAACTTTATCTCAAAAAGTCTCTGAGAATCCACACAGGTACTCTGTGTGACCTGTGTGCACATACACCATACCATGCCCAGAAGGTCTTTTTAAAATTTGTAAAATTACTATTAACCCTTCCCATCCACCAGTCAAACCTTTACTGGAAGTCAAATGACTGTGTCCTTGAAAAAGGAAGAATTGAGGATTATCTAATATAATACTACATGGGGAGGAAAAAAAGTCACACCACTAAAAGGCCAATAGCACAGTCTCCAATAGCACAGTCAAGAGTCAGCTGCAGGTGTCCAGCTACTTACCACTTGGTATTTGTTTGGGGCCCAGACTAGAAGGATATGGCGATGGCCCTGCTCAAAGTCTTTTACTGGAGTGGGTGGTGATCCAGTAGAAGAAATGTTTATACTTGTCAGTTTGTCTGCACTGAAAGTCGTAAAATCACTTGTCTATAATGGGGGGAAAGGAATCACAGTTAATACCAGAGCCTTATTCTGCACTAACACTGTCATGCATATTATTGGCATTCCCAGGTCATGTTCATACACATCCAAAAATGCCTTGATGGGGGCTGGCATTGGTTTGTCTCAGCCTCCGCCCTAGCCCACCTCTGTGGACTCTATCCTGAAGTTGTTTAGCATTACCACAAGAATTATGATTTTCATCCAGCATTTTACTTTCATTTTAGGAAGATAAATGCTATGGAAATTATTTCTACCATTGGGCAAAGAACAGCATTGAGGAAAAGCAACAACCTGGGTGAAAATCAATACTGGGCTTTCCCAAGCATCGGGAGTCAAACATTCTTTCCTCCTTCACGATTATTAGTTCGGCAAGATCTAAGGGAGTGGTTCTCAGTGGTGGCTGACCGGGAATGTGACCAGTTAAATCAAAATTTCTGGAGTTGGGCTGCAGGCGTCAGAATTGTCAAAGCTCTCCAGACTTAAGGTTGAGAAGCTCTCATCGAGACCAATGACCATCCATCCACAGTAGGGTTTTCCAGTCTCAGCACTGTTGGCATTTGTGGCAGATAATTCTTTGTTGAGGGGGCTGCATGTCAGCATCTCTGGCTTCTACATAGGAGACGCCAAAAGCACACTCCCAGTTGTGACCATTAGAAATGTCTCCAGAGATTTCCAAGTGTTCCCTGTGGGGGCTGTTTTGATAGCTCCGGTGGAGAACCGCTGACCCAGAACCTTGCTATTTAAAGTGTGGTTCCACGTACCGGCAGCAGCAGTGTCACCCAACAGCTTGTAAAAATGCAGCATTTCAGACCCACTGGTCACAAATCTGCATTTTAACAAGCTCCCCAGGTGATTCACAGACACATTAAAGAGCACACTGGTCCAGAGTGAAGCCAAAATGAGATCAGAGATGAAGACATTTCACTTCTGGGCTCATCTTTGGATTTACACAGGAACCAAGAAGATCAGCTTCTCCAAATCCTATTGTGATAACTCAGGTCAGAAGAGGAAAAAGAAAGTTGCATTTCCTTCTACTTACTTGATGCATCGGGTTAAGTGTCTCTGTCTTTCCAGGAAAGGATATATTCATGCTATCATTTCCTATATTCAATACTTTAATTTGGACTTCATTTCCTTTGGGGAAGACGGGGAGAGTTTTCTGAGCAAAATAAAAGAGAATTGGCAGTGAGGTCTTCAGTGCATACCGAAGATGACCTTAACCGTGGCACCGGAGTCACTTTCCCCCTGGCCGAGGAAGGTGGACTGGCTGAGGCACACAACGTACCCACCACGAAGCCCAGGAGGCCTCCAATCCTGCACTTCATGGCGCCCATAGAAAGTGATGCTCGGACGGAACATGGAAGCAGTCAGCAAGAGGCTGCTCTCGGTCCTACCTAGCCACCTCCAGATCAGACCTGGTCAAAGGATGCCTGATGTATGAAGCCTGATACCTGAGGGGTCAGAGTAACCGTCGCCTAAATGAAGGTTGATCTTGTTGTAGCGCCTGAGGTCTGCTCTCCCTCGTAACTCTAGAAGCTCAGACCTCAGCCCTGGACATAGTGCTCTGAATATCCCCTCCTAATGCTTGGGAGCCCCCTGCCTCTCACCCTGCTCAGGGTTTCTGCCTTTTCTCTCAAATCCCAGTGTCACTGAAGTAATCCACGTCTATTTTAGCCCCACAATTCATTTCCCACTAGCATAAAGCTAGTGATGTCCAAGAGAAAGTGAGCACACCCAAGCTCAAGGCAGCATTACTGACCACAGCCAACAGGTGGAATGACCCAAATGTCCATCCACAGATAAATGGATCAACAAAATGTGCTATATCCGTATGAAAGACTATTATTCTGCCTGAAAAAGGAAGGAAATTCTGACATGTGCTACAACATGGAGGAAACTTGATGACACCGTGCTCAGTGAAATAAGTCAGACACAAAAGGACAAATACTGTATGACTCCCCTTACATGAGGTACAGAGAACAGTCAAATTCAACAAGACGAAATAGAATGGTCATGGCTGGGGGACTGGGGGGACGTAGAATGAGGAGTTGTTTAATGGGTACAAGGTTTCAGTTCTGCAAGATGAGAAGTGTTCTAGGGATTGAGGTCACAACAATACGGATGTACCTAGTGCTACCAAGCTGTACACGTAGAAATGGTTAAGACGGCAAATTTTATGTTATACATATGTTACCACGCTTAAAAATTTAAAGAGAGAGAAGGGAGGGAGGGAGGGAGAGGGACAGAGACAGAAACAGAGAAAGAGACAGAGAAAAAGAGAGATGTGGGGGTGCAGGTGTGGGAAAAGGAGGGGAGGGGAGGAGGGAGAGAGAGAGACAGAGAGAGAGATTTTACCTCTCATCTTACATACTACCTAACACCCTGTTTCTGAGAGCTGCTCTCAGACGAACAGCATTAGGAATCTAGTTCAGTCCCATTTTGAGTCCAACAGACGTGTGGATTAGCTTGGGAACTAACCATCATCAGGAATGTTAGGATACAAAAGGCATCTTCCCATGAACAATTTCCCATTACAATTTACATATTTTTGAAGGACTTTGTGAGTGATGAACCTCTTTTAACCAGATCTCCTAGGAGTTTAAATAGCAAAAGAACAAGTTCCACAAACTTCCCTCCCCTTATAAAAACTGTATTATAAACGGAAGCCCCTGTGTAACTGCCATCTAAGTTTTCTCCTAATTGAGTGCACCTTTTTGGCCCTATTCCTGGCTGCGTCCTTTGCAATGACAAGAACCCACAGGGCGCGCTGACTGAAAGGGACTGTTTTGCCCTGCAGCGCATCGTCCACAGCCCCAGGACTTAGTTTATCAGCAAATCCCTGGCCTCCCTCATCCTCTCAGTCCTGGAGAAGGACGCTCCACCAGACCCACCAAGAAAGGCCACTGGAGAATCAGAAAGCAGCTCACCTCGATTTCCACCTGCACAATTGCAGCTGCCACAAAAGCCATGGAAGCCAGGAACATCCCAACCGTCATCTTCTTCAAGGAGCTGGCGGGACAAGCAGAAGGGTGGCTCTCAGCCAGCTGCAGGTGAGCAAGCTGACGGTAAACCCACAAGGGAAGCGCTCCTCTCCCGCCCGCCTCCCCCAGACAAAACCAACTCCCCTCCAAAACACGTGGATTCCAAGCGTCTCTCTGTCTCTTATTCATGACCAGGACTAAGGAGGATAAATGTTACAGCTTCTCATCTGCATCTGGACATTTAAATTCTAGATACTACTTTGGACCACAGTTACTATTTCTATCATCTACACATACAAGGGAGCCTTAATGAGAGGCTTTTTCAGGGTGCCATTAATAGCACTTTTATTTTAAGGGCAAATTTTCAGAAACGTCAGCACATAGACATCTGATTCGAAAATATTTCTTTGAAAACTCCCTCACGTAGGTGGCGTCATGGGAGAGGAGCCAGACATTCTTTCTGCTGAGGCTCTGGGAGCTGAGGGAGTGCAGCCCATTTGCAAAGCCCTGGGACACATGGAGTCCGAACCCCAACCCGAGGGTCACCTACGTAAAATTGAAGCCACATTTTGCGATCAGAGGATACACCACAGCATCCATGATGGGAACCAGGATAACGATCAGGATGGCGTTCACGGTCTGCAGAGGAAGTGGAGAGGAGCTGTTACTGCCTCAGCGGTGGCTCTGAGCTCTGGAGGCGACTTAAATATTTTCTCTCACCTGCATCTGATCTGGCTGAATTTCAATAATTCCCTAAAAAGAGGGGGAAAATCTCATTGATAAGTTCGCACAGAGGATCAGTTGGGGGGTTGGAATGTTATGAGAGAGAAGCAAAAAGGGGGCAAAGGGGCTAAAGCAAAGGAATAGGGACCAGGGGCCGTAAAATAGCTCCAGGTCCCAGACTTACAATTTTCCCATTCATAGTTGTTGCCTGCAGCGTCCACCTGGAGCCCTTAAAAACAAGTTAAGTTTACTGCGTCATCTGGGAATGTGGGTTTTAAGCATTTTATAAGCCAGTGTGGAGTCTTTTCCAAATCAGGAATGAGGTCTGAATTGCTATGGGGTTTAAAGATGTTTTTCAGTATCAGGCTCCTCTCCCAGTTCCACTGTGATTGTAGGTAAGAAGAAACAACTTGCATTTCTGCTGTTCAGTTAACAACAAATAGTACTCCAACCACTCACAGAGAGCCTACAAAGTACTACTTTGAGATAAGCTCTCCTTCATAGAGACAGAAATGCATTTCTGAGGTTTGCTGGGAAGTTGACATCACCTGCAAGGTGAAAGCATCTTCACACCCTGAGGCTATTTTATGTTCACTGGGATCACAGTTTCAGGAACATTATTACTGTTAAGAGCCTACTGTTATGTTAAAACACAAAAACAAACAAACAAACAAAAAACAAGAAGGGAGTATCATTGTCATTAAAGTAAATTTTAAGAAGTAAAATGGTGATATAACGCAAATGTGGAAAAAAAAAAAAAGCCTATCGTTGACAGCCTAGGTTGTCCTAAAATGTAATTCCATCAAGAGAGTGATGGATTTAAACCTGGGCAGCCTACTTATATTCAACCTATTTTGTAGTAAAAGATGATGCAGGACTGTACAAGTATATGTTATATATTCCATGGAGAACTGGATATGTGAATTTTTCAACATAATCTATCATCTCTACTAGGAGAACATCATCGAAAGTCAGGAAATATGCCACCGGCTGAGTTCTTGATACAAGCCAGTCACTGATTACTTACTATACATTCTCTCTTTTGATCCTCACAGCCTTGCCCTGGGTTATTACCCTTTCAGAAGGGTTAAGGGATTACGCCAAGTCACACAGATAAAGGTGTTCAGTGCATTTCTAGTGCAAGCCTGATTCTAATAACCAGTTCCCGCCCAACATGCAAAACTTGTTCTTAAGATGTTGGTCTAAATTTCATACTTACAAATAAGGAGATTAATGTCTATTCTCAGTTTTTTCCAAGAGATGGTTTACCCTTTTAATAATCCCTCCTGTACAATAAAACCATACACGTGTGTAAATTTCTTCTTAAACCCCGGTTTCTAAAAGAAAGGATAGCTTATCACTTTGGCTACTGAGCGTCATGCATTGGGTTTTCTAACCCTATTTAGAAAAATTCCTAGGCACGCATCTTCCAGCTGTGGGAGAAAGAGCAGGGTGACAAGTCAATGATGTGTTCTAGCTCCTGCTCTGATTAGAATGACTTTGGCAGGCATTTCACATTTCTGGATGGTGCTTCTAGCCCAAGAATCCCATTTCAGCGTGGAAGATATCAAGTCCCTCTCAGTCTAAATATTCTGTGTATCCCATAAAAGACAGTACAGTACAGCTTTTACATGCTGTATCAGGAGAAAAGCTCTGAATTCTCAATTTGGCTGGCAGGAGTCCTGGATACTTGTCTTTCCCAAGGCTCCTCTACTCGACCCCGCCTACTTTTCTTCATTGTTTTGTCACAGAAATGTGGATAGAACCCTCTAGATAATTAAAAAAAAAAGGGGGGGGGAAGAAAGAAAGAAACCCTAGGTGATCGAACAGTTACCAAATAAATGAAATGTAAAAAAGGAACTGGAAGAGAACATTTTCAGGAGCTAAATACTAAGTAGGTACAGCTTGCCATGCGGAAATGCCCAAAGAATGTTTTGTTAATGAAGATGTACAGAAACACAGTTTCATGTTACCTGCTGATCAAACAAGGCCCAGAACATGGGGAGAGGAATATACAGGAACATCACTCTTGTAACCATCTTAATTTGAGAGATGAGCTGCTCCTGCAGTTGGAGTGAGTGCGGGGACAAATCAGACATGACCTGTGCCAGAGCTCTCAGCCAATGCTATTTTCAGCGTAGACATATTTGCATCTAGAGACAAGCTGGGAGGTGAGTAATTGTTCCAAGAACCCTATCACAGGTTTCTTTAGAAAACCCCAAATTCCTAAGGTGTTGAAAATAATAGTGAAAACATCTTTAGGAGGTAAATTATTCAAATTTAAGTGTAAATTCACTAAATGTAAATCCCACCACCATCACTTAACCCTTGATATTCAAACTAAAGTTATGTGGTCATAATGACATATAACTAACGGCAGATTATTCCACATGAATAACTATGAAGAGGTAATATTGTTTCCAGATAAATTATATCCATTGTTTCTCAAGGTCTTTTCAATATAAATAAGCACTCTCACACAGAGTCTTATTTAAAATGCTAATAAAGTTTATGAAGATACGACTGATAATTCTGTCCATGTAGCCTATTTAATAATACGCATTACGATCACTGGGGCCGTTGAGGCTGTAATCATCACTTACGTCGTATTTCTCGTTAGCCCAGTCCAGCCAATGCTCCCTCTTGGGAAATTTCTTACTCCGATGCCTAACCCTATTTTTGATGGCAAACTGAAGGAAGGAAGAACAATCAGATTTCAAAACAGAACTGATTCCTTTATCAGTACAACACATTTCAATGAAACTCCCTTTAATGGAAGACTTACAAGAGAAGCAAAATACAAAATTGTAGATGTTAGTATAATGATGATGCTAAAGGCATGACATGCATTTATTTCAAACCTCTCACTAACTGAGAGCGTTTGAGCTGGGGTAAACGAAATCACGCTGTTACTTACTACTTTACTCTCCGGATTCTCTAGAGAGGAGCGTTCAGTAGAAATACAACACATGACACATTTGCCATTTGAGTTTTCTGGTAGCCATGTTAACAAGTAAAAGGGAAACAGGTGAAATTCATTTTAAATATATTTTATTTAACCCAACAAACCCCAAGTATGGTCTTAACATGTACTCAATGTTAAAAAATTAGTGAAAAAATTTACATTCTCTTTTCATACCAAGTCTTCAAAATCTAGGGTATACTTCACGCTTACGCCACATTTCAATTTGGATGCTAAATTTTTACCAGAAATGTTTGATCTGTATTTACACTGTCTAAAATTTATGCTTGAAAAACTAGACTTACACACCTAAGTTGTTTCAAACATATTTAAAAGCTGTCCAATAACTGAATTGAGTACTGGTTTTGAAATTTAAGAGAACCCACTACATAGAAATACGTGTATAAGAAATTACATAATTTAAATTAATTTAAGTGAAATCCAATTTAAAATTCTGTTCCCCAGTTGCACTTGCCACATTTCAAGTGTTCGATAGCCACACGTGGCTAGTGGCTACCATACTGGATGGTGAAGGCCTATTATAATGTATTACAGTCACATGAAGGAGAGGGAGAACTCACTACATAGAAACAGAAGTAGAAGAAAATAAAGATTATAGTTGAACATACTTTAAAACATGGTAACACTGATCCAAAAAACATACCTACCTACCACCACCCATTACAAAATTAGAGGCTTCCAAGATTCCTTGTTTGTAAGATGCCTTTAGGAAAGCAAAGTGCATTCACAGTGATGTAACAGCAGGAGAAGGCGATGGTGATGCCAGCTGGGGACATGCATGTGACTTTGTGACTTAAAAGCAATAACTCAAAGCTACAAGGTGACTTAGGATGCTGGGAAATAACAATATCATTTTCATGACTAAATAGCTTGAAATTGTTCTTTTGGCGTTGGGGCTAAGTCATCAGTTACTTGGGAAGAAAGAACTTAGAGATCACTGGAATTGGATCATTCCTATTAGACTGGAAAAAGCTTTGTGGTGGGAATAGTTCCAATGTTAGAGGAAAGTGTAGGAGGAAAAGGGAATAGCAGCGAGGCGGGAGAATTTTTGACTTTGATAAAGTATACATGTATAGTTTAACACAATAACATCAGGAAAAGGGGAAAGTAAGTGACTAAAATTATCTTAAGGCTGCCTTTACATCCAAAAGATTACCCACACTTAAAAAAAATGAGTGACACATTACTCCCTGATTATACAATGTAGATATTCCTTTAAAAAAAAAAATGGGTAGCACATTTGAGAATAAAGTTATTTGACTCCATTATTTAAAAATTCCTACACTCAATATTGATTTCCTGCCTTAAAATGTGCCTGTGTGGACACATACCGTGTAGATGCACATGGAAGAAACCATATTCCGCATGTTCCTATTTGGTGAAATAGTCTTGGAAACAAGACTCCTGATGTCTGCGTAGTATGACATAGATGCACTATAAGTTAAACACTGTTCTATTTTCAGCAACTTGCTGGACTTCAATTTTTGTCATAATTTTTTTTCTAAGTATTACATACATTGATAATCTTTTCATGTGACGCTGTGTTCATTTTTAAAAGTTATTTTCTTGGCCTTAGTTCCTGCACGTAGGATTACTGACACTTTCCACACTTCAGACTCTGGATATACACTATGAAACCAGACCTCTCCATTTTTGTTTCACTGCTCCCTGACAAACATCAGATGTTGTCTATCATTTTAAGAGGTAAAGAGTCCCTTTGATTTGCTTTTCTATCACCACTGATCTTATTTTATAAGTTCAATAGCCATTTCCATCCTTCCCTTTTTGAGTTCTGTTTGTGTCCTTTTCCATTTGGTGAGTTTTATAAGAAACTTCAATTTATCAAAAAAGGAAAGAACAAGAATAAAATGTCTAAAGGAAAGTCAAAGGTTCATTGAATTTTAATTTAAAGGCGGTAGAAGGCTCTGGGGTGACTAAATGTGATTGAGAGAGAAGACTACTGAAATACTTACCCCAATACACCTGGCGACTTTAGCCATGACATTACCCTGGGGCTGGACCTTCTTGTACATTCCACTGCCAATGACAAATACAACTGGGGAGGGCAAAAGAAGATAAGTCAACAGGGAGTTTGACAGAACTATCTGTGAACTAGAATATGTGTTTTTATTTGAGTTACAACCTTGTTCTGGAGATACCGGGATTACTCATTAGTGTTGGTTTACCTCCCTCTCTCCTGGTTTCCAGAGTGCTTTTGATTCTAATGATCACAGCAGCTTCTGAGTAATATTATATTGTGTTCTCATATACGAACATTGAAGCCTAATACTATCTCCTTCCCAGAACTTGGGGCAGCTGGCAGACACTCGGTAGAGCTATTTGAGCACAAGTTCTATCCCTCTTTACAGGGATAAATGCTTTCACAAAGCAGATTAATGCATTATTCTACAAATACATAGAACACAGCTTTAATTTCCTGGCTGCAATAGCAAGAGAAAGTTTCTTCTTTTTTTTAAATCTTCAGACAAAAATAGGAACTAATCTGTTGAAACTTCTACTTAATCACATATGACAGAATTTATTCTGTGGTCATGGTACAGAAACAGTTACCATTAATTGCATGTGCAGTTACAGTTTTACGAAAAGTTAAAAAGTTCTTTTTCAATGAGGCCATTCTTCCATGGACCTTCTTATAAAATGCATAATACTGTGAAAATAATTTAGGGGGAAAAAAAAGTCTTTCTGCAAGAGACTCTGAAAACCACAATCTCTATGCTGGGATTTCTGATTATCCAATATCACAATTCAATAATTTTAAAACATCGACGAATTGCTTGACTTCTACTTGTTTTCCCCAATTTAAGAAGACATGAAGTTTTGCCAACTCTCAAGCATATCTCCAAGTGTGTGCCTGGATTGTAGATGTTCTTTGCAGTTAAAGGAAGAGGAGTTTACTTGTATTCTCACCCAATGCTAATTTCCCTCAATCCAGACATGGAATACCCAGTTGAGTATTCCATTTGAGTTTACCTCTTTTTGTCAACCAATATTTTAATCTTTAAGCTTCTGATTAACTAATGAACTTGTTCAAGCATAGGATTGTTGCCGATAGGAACTTCTAGAGAGGATGGTAAGGCATAGGATTTGGCCTCTTCTCAAATCCATTATAAGAAAAAGCATAATCTTTGATGTAAGGATGACTCACCGGGACGAAAAGAGAATTTACCTGATGCCAATCTAACACAGCATCTGGCATAAAACAATAGTTTTTGAAAACCTATCTCTTTACCCAGAATTGAAGGAGGGAAGGCATATATAAGCCTTCTAGGGGAGAGTGGCAATATTTAAACAATTACAGAAGAAAATGGATGTTAAAAAGGGGGTGAATCCTGAGCTTTCGCCTAAGTGTAAGGATAAAGCTAAATTACTACAACATAAGCAAAAGAGGTGAAAAAGGGCATACTCAATACTATTAAAAACTGGTAAAGGGCTTCCCTGGTGGCGCAGTGGTTGAGAGTCCGCCTGCCGATGCAGGGGACACGGGTTCGTGCCCCGGTCCGGGAAGATCCCACATGCCGCGGAGCGGCTGGGCCCGTGAGCCATGGCCGCTGAGCCTGCGCGTCCGGAGCCTGTGCTCCACAATGGGAGAGGCCACAACAGTGAGAGGCCCGCGTACCACAAAAAAAAAAAAAAAAAAAAAAAAAAAACAGGCCGGAAAAAAAAGGAAAAATAGATCAGAGAACGTGATAGTGCTGACTGCTACCTCATCTGAGAGGGAGGAGACGCTCTGAAGGCTTGAGGCGGTTGTTGGGTTCTGTTTCCTTCTTTTGCTTCTGTTGTAGATTGAACTGTGTTCTCCCCAAAAGATGTTGAAGTCCCTGTCCCCAGGACCTCAGAATGTTACCTCATTTGGAAATCCAATCTTTGCAGATGATGAAGTTAAGGAGAAGTCATTAGGGTGGGTCCTACTGCAAAATGACTGGTGTCCTTATCAAAAGGGGACATTTGGACACAGATGCACGCACAGGGGCAAGGCTGTGGACCGACTGAAGTTATACTGCCACAAGCCAGGGAACTATTAGAGGTAGCAGGGAAGCCTGGAAGAGATTCTTCCCTAGGGCCTTCAGAGGGAGCATGGCCCTGCTGACATATTGATCTTGGACTTCCAGCCTCCAGAACTGTAAGACAATTAATAAATTTCTGTTGTTTAAGCTACTCAGTCTGTGACATTTTGTCATGGCAGCCCAAGGAAATGAAGACACCTACCATCTTTTAAACTGGACTATTCCTTGTAGAAAACTCTTCAGACCTCCTAAAAAGCCAATGCCAAGAACTTATGTGCAAATGACTATACACATATATTCCTCCCAGAGGGAAGACAGTCTTGTAGAAACATTTAGAGATGATACATTATGGAAAACTAGATGTTCACTGGAAATATTTAAGTGACAATTGGACCAGGTTGCCATGTCTTCAGGCAAGTTGTAGATGCGCGCATGTTGATAAGAACAAAAGCTTTCAGCCATGGTTTCACCTAGTCTAGAAGATTCCATCACCTTCTTCTTAATCTGCCTAAATAGTTTCAAACCTTTAAATGTCCAACTCAGTTGATCCCCTTTCCTCTGGACTCTTTTTTGATCCTACTTTCTCTGAAACAATACGCCAACTCTACTTTCTTTGAATTCTCAGAGTATGTTTAACATGGGATAGCAATTCTTTGTATTACTTACTATTACAATTTGTTACATGAACTTTTAAAAACTGGTCACAACAATTAATATGAAGGCCTGACCTGATCACAGGACTGTATTAATTCAACTGATTTCTACTTACTCAGAGATACAGCCATAAGGGCAGCAGGAACCCCAAACGCCAATGGGTAACAAGCTTTTTTACTGTGAATTCCGCATTCTTGAACTGGGGAGAAATGACAAGATTAAAATTCATTATGGCAATGGTAATACTCATCTATTTCCCGGTTTTGTAAATCCCTAACTGGTTCTTACATATTGTTTTCACTTAATGTTCTAGACTTATCCATTTGCCTTACTGATGTCATTGCAAGTAGACGGTCATTGCAGTAGACCGATGTCTACTACAAGGCTGAGCAAACGGCTTTGCAGTAGAAAGAGCAGGAGATGGAGGCGGGTTCTAACCTTAGCCACTAAATAGATGTCTGATACCAGCTAAGCCAAAATCAGTGGGAATCCTTATGTTCTGTGGACTTACTGGGAGAGACGAAAATGACCTAGATACAATAATATGAAGAGAGTGGGACTCAGAAAGTAAAATCAAAGGGCCCTGGAAAATCAGGATTATATGTCCCTGAATTCATGCCAATTAGAAAACCATTAGATGACCCAGGGTAGGGGTCAATAAACTTTTTTGTGAACAGCCAGATAGTAAATCTTTTAGGCTGTGGACCTGTCCTAACTACTCAGCCCTGCCTTTGTAGGTGAAAGCAGCCATAGACGATACACACATGGATGGTCTTGTCCAGATCTCTGGATTTGGCCTGTGGGCCATAGTCTCCTAACTCCTGTCTGAAGATCTACTTTAGCTCTGAAATCCTAGGGTTGGTAGGGAAAAAATTAAGACTCTGGAAGGGGCAACAGAAATTACTGGAAGTCCTTTCAATGGAGTTCTAGAGCCTCCAGGAATCATCTGATCCTAAAGGGGTTTGTCTCTGTTTTTGACCAACTGTTTCACAGTTCTGCAGAGAAAGAAGTTAACTAGGCAGAAAACTATAGTCATACAAATGTTTCCTGTTCGTTACTGTACAAATGATTCCTATTCACAGCAATGCAAAATAATCCCCCCATCCAGTAAAGAACCTAAATCTCTGTTAGTCAAATCCTTATTTGAACTGATTGTAGCAGCTTTCCAGTTCCCTCATCAACTAATAAGTTACATAAAATCTCTGTCATGCTGACGTTATATCTGTATGAGAGCCATGATGTTCCCTTAAAAATTATCCTATTACACATTTTCTAATTCAAACATGCACAACACATATTCTAGTAGAACCTGGAGGCGGGGGAGGTTAGGGGGTGAGAAAACATAATGTAAGAATAAAAGCTAGTACATTTTCATACAAAGCAAGTTGGAATGGCGTTTAAGTGTCATCTTCAAAGTGCTACTACAGGCAGAAATACATAAACTCCATAAATTATCTTCTTTCATAGTTTATTCTGACTCGAGGTGTGGACACCATAGTCCTGTTTTGGTCTAATTTGTCCCCAAATATCCCCTTCCATATGGGAAATTCATAAACCCTCAATGGAGTGCTGACAAGCACAAAACTGTGAGCTGATGACAGACGCTGCCCCATTCTCTTCCTTGGGGGCAGTTCTTTTAGAAATATCTGAGATGGGCTTCCCTGGTGGCGCAGTGGTTGAGAATCTGCCTACCAATGTAGGGGACACGGGTTCAAGCCCTGGTCTGGGAAGATCCCACATGCCGCGGAGCAACTGGGCCCGTGAGCCACAGCTACTGAGCCTGCGCGTCTGGAGCTTGTGTTCCGTAACACGAGAGGCCGCGACAATGAGAGGCCCACGCACTGCGATGAAGAGTGGCCCCCGCTCGCCGCAACTAGAGAAAGCCCTCACACAGAAATGAAGACCCAACACAGCCTAAATAAATAAATAAATTTAAAAAAAAAAAAAAAAAAAAAAAGAAATATCTGAGATGATGGGAAAGCAAAGAATAAAACCTTGCCTGCTAAATTCTTCCTGGCTCGCTGAACGTCATTGGGGAGCAAAGCTTGAAGGCAAAAATGTCAACTATGGCCCACCCGCTGTGGTTTCCAAACAGCCTCTCTCGTCTTATCTCTTACCATGAGTAAGGACTTTGCATTAATAATAAGTTAGAAAAATCGATTGCTATGCTAAGGACGGTTTAACTTCTTCAGGGGTCACTGGGATAAGGGATTCAAATAAGATTAGCAGTTAAATCTTGAAAGAAAAGTAGCTGGCATTCCAGATTTCACTGTATCCTCTAGGATGTATGTGACAGCTGAGGCATCGTGGGAGAATTGTGGGACAGGACAAACCAACAAGGACTCAACCTTTTCACCTGACTTCTCTTCACAATTAAAAAAAGAAAAACCAAGGTCCACTTCAGATATTTTTTACCTCTGAGCATGGGAGTGATGATAGTAGACAGCAAACTTCCAGCATTAATGGCCAAATAAAAGATGGAAAAAAATCTGTTTCTTTGTTTTTCCTGTAATAAAAAAGGATAAGGTAGGGTGATTTGGGCAATACAGTAACGGATCAACTGTAGCCGATGATCTGACTTGACTTTGAACTTAGCTTTGGTCAGTGTCTTACTTTCATGTGTACTCGAACAGCCTCCAATGGAGAATACACTCTGACCATGGAATTTGTTCCTCGGTGTTTATAATCACTTACATGGTTTCTGTGGTGACGCATGCTCTCACCTGGCCCTTTTCAAACTGATCTCCACCAAATGCAGACACACAAGGCTTTATCCCTCCGGTACCCAGAGCTATCAGGGCCAGGCCAACCATGGACAGTGCCCTAGGGAAAGAGATGGGTATTGCTGAAATGTGAGATCCTTAAAATCATCGGCCTCTCTTTCCCCTAATTTCCCTAAGAGGACCAGGCACACAGAGAAGGGATTCAACCTGTATTAGAAGATAATTCAAGAAATGCAGTCTTGACAGTTGAATGAAACTTGAACTCAAGGGTCTTCAAATTCATACTTTTATCTAATAATTTACCATCTAGAAAATTTAAAGAAATGGCTTGAATTCGGAACAAAGATTTAGGTATGGAGTTCTTTTGTAGCCTTATGATTTTTAGCAAAAGAATGGGTAAGTGAAATTTTAAGCATTGTCTCTGGTACAGTCATAACAGACTAATAATAGTCATTAAAAGACATTAGAAAACATGATTTAATTGCAAAGCAGAATAGCAGGTTATGTAGTAGGATCTTAACTTGTTCACAAAGTACAGAAGACTGAAAAAAGCAGAGCAAAATGTTTATTACTATAACTTTTTATAATAAAAAAGAGATTATTTATAATAATAAAAGGGATTAAAGAGTTGTGTTTTTTTTGTTTTTTTTGTTTTTTTTTTGCGGTACACGGGCCTCTCACTGTTGTGGCCTCTCCTGTGTGGAGCACAGGCTCTGGACGCGCAGGCTCAGTGGCCATGGCTCATGGACCCAGCCGCTCCGCGGCATGTGGGATCTTCCCGGACTGGGGCACGAACCCGCGTCCCCTGCATCGGCAGGCGGACTCTCAGCCACTGCGCCACCAGGGAAGCCCTAAACTTAAATTTTTTAAATTTACTTTTGTGTTTTCCAAGTTTTCTGTGTTTTATCTCCTGAATTGAAGAAAAGCACTCACAGAATTTACCAACCCTCATTTTGTTAGATTTACAATAGGTTACTACAAATTTCAGGTTTTATAAGTGTTTATTCCATATCTTCTTGATTGCTAATATTGCTTTAAAATGCTAAAAAATATTTTATGAAACAGATAAAGTCAAGGAAGATACTGCACATAGAAAGAATTCTTTAAAAAATCATGCCCATCTTCCTAGGCTAACTGGCAGAAGCACCTCTTTCATCTTGCTTGCCTCTTAAAACAACTTGTGTTTGGCGGTGTCACTCTGAGCATTTTAAAGGACAACAAAAACATGGCCGGTTGAATATTATATACCGTGCACTCTCGTGAGGACTGTAGGCAGGTTTCAATACTAACACCGTGAAATAAAATAAGTCACTAAGCTTTCTTGAGTACCTACTGCTTGCCAGGCAGTGCTCTAGGTGTTCTACCTGGCTTAACGCACAGGCAGGTACTATTACAAATAAGGACAACTGGGCACAGAGGTTAAGAATCTTGCTGAAGATCAATACTAGTCAGAGGCACAGGCAGCATTTGAACCCATACGGCCTGGCTCCGAACTCCATGTTCTTAATTGATATTGTTGATTAGAAAACTGAGGTGTGGAGGAGATAAGTTGGCCTGGGTCCTACAGCTCCTCTGTGGGACTCAGATCCTGGTAATCTGAGCTGTGGATTATACCCTGCTTATACCCACTCCCCTCCACCTACACAGCTCCCTGGGGACACCACGGGTTCACATCCAGGGACCTAGCCTGGGTGGCAATCTGATTGACTAACAAACCAGAAACACAGATACTGCAGATACTAATTTGAATTTCAATAATACTTTCCCAACCCATTAGATGGTTTACTCATAGATCGAGGAATTGAAACAAAAGAACAGAAAACGAAATAAATCTTTACAACTTGTCTGCTAGGCCAGACTGTCATGAAGGGAAATTCATCTCACAGAGGAGCAGTTGTCAATAGCACTGTTCATCAAGAAAGCAGAACATAGGGCTAGAAAAAATATTTATGAAACTGAATTACCGAAAAATGAGCAGAAATGTGGTACAAGACAGAAAATCAAAGGTACAGAGTCTTGAGGAAACCTGGGGCAATTGAGGATCAAGGTCTGTGGGAGTTCATGTCCCTCTAGGGAAGATGGAGATTAATACAAACATCCCGTGCACTGACCACGCCTCATGGGAGATGCACCCAAGACACCAAGCCTTCAAGTGAGCGATGACTCCAGACAACTGTTAGGATGGTGACATACTGAGGACCCAACTCTGAGTCAATTCAACACCTTTCTCTACACTGATGAGGGAGGAAAGCTTTCCTTACACTTATGGTGAAGGTTCAAGGAAAATGATTAAAAATTAGAGCACCAAAGGGGGGAGGGATAAATTAGGAGTTTGGGATCAGCAGATACCAACTACTATACATAAAATAGATAAACAGGGCTTCCCTGGTGGCGCAGTGGTTGAGAGTCTGCCTGCCGATGCAGGGGACGCGGGTTTGTGCCCCGGTCCGGGAAGACCCCATATGCCGTGGAGCAGCTGGGCCCGTGAGCCATGGCCGTTGGGGCTGCGTGTCCGGAGCCTGTGCTCCGCAACCGGAGAGGCCACAGCAGTGAGAGGCCCGTGTACCGCAAAAAAAGAAAAAAAAAGATAAACAACAAGGTCCTACTGTACAGCACAGAGAACTATATTCAATATCTTGTAATAAACCATAATGGAAAAGAATATGAAAAAGAATATATAAATGTATAACTGAGTCACTTTGCTGCACATAGGAAACTAACACATTGTAAATCAACTATGCTTCAATAAAAAAAAAATTTTTTTTAAATTACAGCACCAAACAAGCAACTAGTGAGAGGATGGGGTAGGGCCGCAGTTAACATCAACTCACACGTGCACAGAAATATTGTCAGGGTTTCCATCGTGGTTGAAGTCCACGAGGTCATTAATTGAGCTCACTGCAACGACTACTTGTCCAATGGTGTAGACAATGGACAGCGACACAATTGTCCTGTGTTAAAAGAGGTCAAGAGAATCCAAGTTAATTGTACAAGAGCCATACACTTCCTACGCCAGTGCGAAAAGGCCTCTGCTTCCAACTTTCAAAAGCCCAGTCACGATTCTCCTTGTTTCTCAAACTGGGACAATTACCTGATAAACCTTTGCAAGGCAGAGCCTGCTGAAGAATTTGTTCCTCAGCATGTAAGCACTGAGCGAAGTTTTGGCTGCGAGAACCTGGGGAGGCAGAAGATCTGTTCTTTCTTTCAACTATTTGAAAGACTCAGTGTCTATTGTTGCCTAGCTACTGAAGTGATGACCTGTATCTTTAAATAGTCAGAGATATTTATCTTGCACCTGGTAACAACATTCGGGCAGGAGTGGTCCATTGGTTATTTTTGAATTATATTGAGTAATTTTGAGATAGTGAGTATTCCTGCCTCTGCCCGTGTCATGCATTTGACCTGGAAGAGCCTTTACTTCCTTCTGTGTTAAGTCCAAGGAAATGTCCCAATGACCCGCCCCCTGCCCCCGCATCAAGCGCACTCTTGGAGCTCTTCCTGCAGGACTGGCTGAGCACCCCGTGCTTGTGGTCCAGCAGTTTGAGCCTTTCAGCAGCTGGGTCGTTTTGAGGGAGCTTTTTTGTTCTCCCAGCCCTTAATTTCTCACGCGTCATTAACAACAGACGCTATCCCTCCTACTATTTCAAGATGCGACAAAGACGTTATAAGTGTTTAGAGGAGGAAAAAAAATCCTACCGATGCTACTTGCATTCACCCCGCCGAATGCCAGGCACTGTGCTGAATTCTGACAATATGAGGATGAGTAGAAACAGGGCCTGGGACTCTCTCCTAAGAGTTTTACGTTCCCTGATTCTTCGTTCCCCTAGCCCACCCTCCGAAACCCCAAAGCTTATCATTACTCGTTGGCTTGCTCGTTAACAAGAAACCTGCCACGACTCACTTGAACTTCCCCAGCCAGGAGTCGGCAATGAGAGCTCCGAGAATGGGCGTCAGGTAGCACAGAGCCACAAACGTGTGATAGATGGCGGTGCTCAGATTGTCGTTCCAGTGGAGGAAACTTTGAAAGTACAGAATCAGGATCGCTTTTCGCCGAGGGTGGTGGAGGACGAGAGGGCAACAAAGTTAGCAGTGGCTACAGTAACTCAAGGTCTTCACTGACGGGGGGGGTGGGGAGAGTGTTGAAGAGTTACCTCTCATTCCATAGTAGGAAAATCTTTCACAGAACTCATTGATCACGATGAAGAAGATGCTCACGGGATAACCAAAGCAGCTCTGACAAAGAGAAACAGTCTGCGTTTGAAACAAGCTCCTCACTGGTCCATATTCGCCAGTGAGGGCTAACGGCATGGAAAGTAGCGGATGCGTGTTTGGTAACTTATCAGAGGCACTCCGGAGGTGGAATCAAGAATTAAAAAGTTTCATTCCCTTACACTCTACATAGAGACAACAATGAAATGAAGATTTTCTTGTTTTATAGTTTTACTGTTAGTCTGAGAAAAGCTAGACAGGCAGACCTCAGAGATATTGTGGGTTTGGTTCCAGACCATCGCAATAAAGTAATAATTGCAATAAAACAAGTCATACAAAGTTTTGGGTTTCCCAGTGCATATGAAAGTTACGTTTACCTATACTGTGGTCTGTTAAGTGTGCAATAGCCTTATGCCTAAAAAAATAAGGTACATACCTTAAGTTACGAACGCTTTGCTGCTGAAAAATGCTAACCATCATCTGACAACACAGGGTTAGCACAAACCTTCAATCTATACAGAAACACAGTCTCTGGGAAGCACAATAAAACGAGGTATGCCTGTACAGAGCATTTCCTAAAGAGAAGAAATGTCACACGGGAACTCAGGAGGGTCCCCTCATTGGTGTGAGATGCATGAGGTGCATTTGTTAAGCAAATGAAGCACAGCTGTGAACATTTACGGGCAAAACAGGTTGTAAAGTTTACATCATGAAGCTACGTGGAGAAGTAGAAAGGATACTCACCGGCCGTGAGAACGTTCCTGAAAGAAAACAAAATGCCGCCGTTAGAGTCAAGTACTTAAAATGCTTTCGGCTGAGTTAAGCTCAGACCCTCCGTGTTGGTCAGGCCGTCGGGTGTGCTGTCCAGACCCTCCGGCCCCGTCCAACATCCCAGTCCCAGGCCTGGGCCGCTTCTCCGAGTCGGGCTGGGCTGGTGGCTGCATTTTCTTTCAATCACCTGCTCGGGCAACTCGCGTGTGTGGTCAGGATGGAGAGCCAGAGGCTCCGAAAATCTGCCGGAACCACTTCCTCCTTAAAAGATTTAAAAAGGCTGCCCGATGCCCACGGGATAGAATCCAAACTTCACCATCTCACAAGGTCAGAGGGTTTGGATGGGGGTTGAACAGAAAACGCTTAAGAGTGCCTGCTACACAGTGAGGTCCCATGCCCGTCCTGTTCCCCGGGCCGCCCTTCCTCCCGCCCGGCCCCGGCACACAAGGCTCCCGGGAAACGCCACGCGCACCCACCTAAAGTCCTCAACGAGACAGCGACCCCTCTGCCGGGAAGCCTCCTTTTAACGTGCCCCTTCCCTTAGCGAAGCCTCCTCTGACCTCCCCACGTCCCCGGTGTCTTTGCGTCAGAAAAGTGAATTAGAACAGGAAGAAAATGGGTGAGAATCCAAGTGAGTTGGTAAAAACTGGGTGCCGCTGACCGCCTTCGAAGTCCTAGCTGTCCCCTTGATCCCCTCTGTTCCAGCCCTGCTTTTCTGTCTCCGCTGAGTTCCGGCCGGAGCGGCCTGTAGTCTCACCTGCGCCACTGCCGATACCGACAGCCTGGCCCGCGCCAATCAGGGTCTGTCACAGGCTGTCCCAGCGCCCACCGCTCCCCGCGGCCCCTCCTCCGGCCGCACTGACGACCTTCGAGTCCCCCGCGGGGCTCTGGATCCGTGACACCACAGCAATGGTTCTCAGACCGGAGGCTGCCTCAGAGGCACCCCCAGGGCTGGGGGGGAGCAGGCTTCTGGCCCCCACGCCCAGAGCTGCTGTCCCTGTAGGCCTGGCGTGGTCCCTCGAGCTTGCATTTCTAACAAGTTCCAAGGGGATGTCGGTGCTGCTGGTCCAGGGACCACACTCGGAGAATCACACGCAGACTGTGAGGTCGAGTTGCCTGACCGATCTACGTAAGTTTTATCCCTGCCCTGTCCCCGAGCACCAGAGAGACCCGCCTGTGCCCTGTGTCCCGGGGCGGGGGCGGGGCGGGGGAGGGAACCGGACACAGAAGCTGGACGGCTCGCTGGCGTCTCCACCACGGCCCCCAGCGCCAGCTCTTGCACCTTCCCCGTTCTGGGCCTTTCCTCTCGGAGCTGCCACCTTGTGTTTTCATCATGTGCAAGTCCAGGGCCCCATCCCACAAGAAACAAACTGCAGCTCTGCCTGAGGAACTCCCTTCTGGGGCTGGACCGCGTGGTCCTCCAGGGCCCCCTTCATCTCGTGGGCCGGGGTCTTCCTTCCTGAAGCCGCTCATGCTGGGCTGTGGGTATCTGCACTTCCCCAGCTCAGCACGGCCTCACACCCCACACCAGACAGTCTCCAATTCTTGCCTCATCATTTAAGAGCAGTGATGCTATTTTAGTCCTTGTCCTAAGGTGGGAAATATTAAAATTCTGGAAGGAGAGTCTTCACCACTAACAGACTGGTTTTCTCCCCAGTTAGACTTCCTTGTGGGAAGGGGCTGCTCTCAGGGGCAACATGTGAAGAATGCGGGCATGGGGTCAGATGGGTAATGGGATCTCAGTCCTGACCCCCCGTGACCCTGGGCAAGCCCACCTCCCCTGTGGACAGCCTGCCTATCAGATGAAGATAACGCCACCCACCTTCTAGGATGACTGTAAGAGTTCCACGTGGGAAGCCCCAGACCAGGGCTCAATGGGTCCTTCAGTGGGAGATGCTACCACATCAGAATACTCAGCCCCTCACACGGTGCTTTTCAGAGTGGAAATTAAATGTTTGTTGAATGAATACATATTCCAAAGATCCAGCCACATCAGTCATCAAGTACCGTGTTCAGATCCTGGCTCTGCCACTTAGCAGTTCCATTTGCCCCGCTAGCCTCCTTCTGTTGGTGAGGCTGACCTGGTGGGCTTCATCGGTGTCCCCATGTCTTCCCAATCCCCATAGAGTTTGGCCAATGGGGAGCCGTCGCAGGAGGTCAGAGGGTCAGGGTGTTCCTCTCCCTGAGGCTTTGCCCAGGCCACCTCAGATGGCTGAACCCTCAAGTGTCAGCCACTGTGCCTCCGAGGTCGGCCCTCTCTCTCTCCACACGACTCTCCTTCCAGGTTTCCATCCCGGTTTTTTCCACTTCCTACAGGTGGTAACAGTAAGGCCGATACTCCGGGTACCTGCACCATCACTTATGGTGCCCTGCCCCCCACCCGTCTAAATGTCTTTCTGTGAATAAACACCCCTATTTTGAGAATGCCATCGGTTTCCTGCTGGGACCATCATGGACAAACAAGCCACGTTTCATCACCAGACTACATGTTGCCGTGTTTCATCACCAGAGTGGGGAGACGGCCACTCTGCTGTGAAATAAAAGGACCTGCCAGGAAGGCGCTTTTGCAAAGTTCTACAGGACCAGCCTGTTGGCAGTATTCGAAGCCTGTTTCTTTGCTCTGTCTTCTTGAGGATCTAGCAGGACCATACGACGCTCCGCCTACTTCGACTTCAGATAATGTAGCCTTACCACTGTCTCCCAAAGACCAGACAAAGCAATGAGTGTCATCCACACAACAGCTCAGGTTGGTTCTTGCAATGGGCCTTCTAGAGAAAAGCAGGAGGAGGGTATGAAAATCCAGACTCAACAGAGATAGCCTGGAGCTTTGCTGCAATCATCTCTTCCACATGTCTCTCAGAATTTTGGTTTGCAGGGAAAGACTTCACCTGGCCAGGGTAGCACCTGTGATTTTTTGGCTAAATATTACTTAGCACCAATTATTTGCTAAATAATAATGGCAAAGGTTTTGTTTAGTTCAGACATGAATAGGGTTACAGCAAAGAGATCTTAAACCTTATTACAGCAACTGTTGCACCCAGAACTACATGATGGAAAATGAAATTCCTGAACCCCAAGTGAAAATCTGAGATTTAGTACCCACTCATCACTCGGGAAGTTTTTTCTTTTCTGAAAGCTGTGTGTTCCAAAGAACCACTTTTATTGCCGTGGGGCAGAGGTTGCTAAGCTCTTCTTTTATAGAATTCAGAGCTACTTACTGCAGTCAGCATTTCTTAATACACCCGTGTCCTCTCAGGATTGCTGTCTGAGGAAGCTAAGTGTGGAAGGGGGGGTTACGTCGAGCCCTAAGTCTGAACTCAAATTTCAACTGTCACAAGATTCTGTTTACTTTGGTAGAGTTGGGTCTATTGTTGATATCCTGATAGTAAATCTGATCGGCATATTTGAGTGGTCCGATGTTTCTAGCATCTTTCATGGGTCACTTGGTTTTAACTACTGGGTCAGAGTAAAACAGCTTAGCCAGTCCCGGCATATAGTAACCATGGAATCAATGCTGGCTCTTACTGTTATTCTAAGCCTAGCAGTGCTTTTGTCTCTCTTTTGGTTAAAGAATTTAGTAAAATAAGTGTACATTATAAACCTCTATGATTACTGACTTCTGAGGACAGCAGGAAAAACCAAGAAAGACACACTATTGCTTTCCAGTAGTTGATGGAATCTCTCCATTAAGGTGACTATTTCCTACTACTTAACGGAGCACATTCCATATTTTGAACCATTTAGGGATAGAAACCCTAACTTTAATGTTTTATTACCTAGAAACTGATAACTCCCTCAGCAACATGATGGGCGTAAAGAGTGCTTTTCTAGGATTTAGACTTGGGAAGGGAAGGAAGAGGCATCTTTGCCGGATCTAACAGAGAAGCTCGTGCCTGCATGCAGAGAGAAAAATATTCCCTATCATCGCCGGGAGGGAAATTGAGGGAGAGATTTAAGTACTGCATCGTGCGTTGGGGATGACATTTCTTCAGTCGCATGGTGTGGGTGGCAGAACAGTGGTCCCCCGAAGATGTCCATGTCCCAACCCCCAGGGCTTGTGGGTATGTTACCCTCCACGGCAAAAGGACTTTGTAGGTGTGATTCATTCAAAGACCCTGAGATGGGGCATTTATCCTGGATTATCTGGGTGGCCTCAGCACCATCAAAAGTGTCTTTGAAAGAGTCAAAGGAGGAGATATGAAGACAGAAGCAGAAGTTGGGGTGACAGCAATCGCTAGAAGGCCACCACGATCCAAGGTATGTGGTGACCTCTAGAAGCTGAAAGGACAAGGAAATGGATTCTGTCCCTTGAGCCTCCAGAAGGAACCAGCCCTGCCAACACCTTGCTTTTGCCCCAGTGAAGCCCATGTCAGGCTTCTGACCTCCAGAGCTTTAAGACGATAATTCTGTGTTGTTTTAAGCCACTGTTTGTGGTGATGTGTTACAGCAGCCATAGGTGACTAATTCATGTGGGTTTGCCTCAAGCTCTGTAGATGGAGGTTTCATCTCTATTTACATAGATCATAAGACTCACATCTCCTAGCAAGTTTTATTTGTCAGCAACATGTCCTTTTATCACTTGTTTTCCTGAGCTACACTTTCTATCTGAGGGCTTAGGCGTCCATACGCGGCACCTGCCTTTTTGATGGGATTTGGCAGCATCTGTACTTGCTCAGCTGCCTTCTGCAGGTTTCTGACTCTTCATAACCCATCTCTAAAGTGGGGATGCTGCCCTACAGGGTGGCTACCCCAGGACTAAGGGGGTCTGAAAACGGTTTCATAAACCGGGAGTAAAACGAGTTTCCTCGATGATGGCTCTTTTAGGCTGTGCGTATGCCTCACAAAGTCGGTCACAGGAGACCCGAGGGGACACAATGCTCCTGCTAGAATATACTTAGCCTCACTCTCAGCAGAAGTAGCTTCTGAGTTAAGGTGAGAACTCCTCTCACAATATTACCCCTGCAGTTAGTAGATGGAAGGACATGGGACT